GATATTGTGTGCTACTAGCTTTGAACTTTTGATCTAAAATAATTTGGTGCAACGTGAGATGGTTGTGGATGCCAATGCTAAACTATATGAAAAGGAACACTAAGCAGGGGCCATAATTGTATACATCAAGTGGAGAATTTGTAATATTTGTCATAGTGTATTAGTAAAAACCATAATTTAAATTAATTAAAAGAAGGGAGCTCGTTTAAATTGATGAAGTTGTACTGAAACATAGAAATAAGTAATGCAAATGTAATGTACAGTGAAGGAATATTTCAGGCAGAAAAGAAAAGCTTGGCTGATCAGTGTTGGGTCATCCGTGATGTTTGGTTGAGATAAGGCTTTGCATTGTCACGAATCTGATAAGCTTTTGCAGTAGGGGAATATATTCCTGGGCAGAATAAATTGTTGGATATGCATGCCAGTCAAAATGAGCAACAGTAGTTTCGTTGTTGAGAAGCACGCTACCAATAAGCTGATTATACATTTAATGGAGTAGTACATATGTAAGTGGATATTCGGCCACCATAAAAATACAGCATGAAGGTATTGTACCAAGGGAAAATTTTCTCAATTCCATCACTATTAAAGATTAAGACAGCAAAGCTTGTCTGTGACTCTGGAATGAAGACAAGTGTGTCATTATGTTGCAGATGATGGTCCAGAACAAACTTTCTCCAATTTCGTTTGAGGTGGTTGCGTTTGATTCCAACTTCAGTAATGCTGTGGCCAGTTTTTAGAACTATATTTGGAGTTCTCTTACCATTTAAAAAGTGATCAACAAATCGAGGGAGTTTCTAGAAATAAGAGAATGTAAGTTAGTTTGTGAAGGAGGGTAAATTATTGTACCGGATGAAACCTTTCTAGAAATGGTGGGTAGAACAGATGATTACCAAGGAACCGGGATATGCTGAATCAAATGTTTGATAAAAGCATATTGAATTCGACAAATCTTGAGAGAAATCCAGACTTAGCGATGAGGAAACAATTTGTTGGCGAAGTGATAAAAATATAGGATCTGTCAAGATGAAAGAATGATGTTGTAAGATGCAGTAACTGGTATATATATACTTCTAAATTAGAATGGCAAACATAACGTGTGAACCTATTCTGCTTTGCTGATGCAAAAGATTGGGTAGGGAAACTGTCGATCGGAGATAGACTTTCTTTTTTAGTTCACAGAAATGAATCGTATCAAAAATTAAATCTCCAGCATGCCGAAGTAACAGCATATGATGTTCTGTGATCATGTTTTCATGACAATATTCTACCCATCCTTCTTCAAAGCAGTTATTTCTGACTGAGACTGTCCATCGCTGCAATCCATGCCTGAAGATGATTTTAGTGTCATCGTGTTGGCTGAGCAATATTTGAAATTCATGAGGCAGAGGCTGCATGGTGCATAAAAGGGGAGGTCATTTTTAAACGCAAATGCAAGAGTAACCCATAAAAAAGCTATTACATTGGAGGAAAATATTATTACCTGTCCTCTGTTTTTGCACCTAATAAGAAAGCAATGTGTTTGTGGAGCATTGCTTGCGATGTAAGAGTAATCCACAGAAACGATAGATGTTTCAGCCATGAAGCTGTTAAGGTGAATGGACGAGATATTGTTAATAATAGAGCACTGCATAGAGTTAGGGAAGTAAAAGTAATAAATATGAGTGCAGTTGGTGAGTGTAGGTGCATAAGTTTGAGTTATGAACGCATACTGAAAGGGATCAGCAGCAAAAACCTGTTGGTGTAGTGAGGAGCAAATCTGCTGCTTGATGTGTTCAGTTAAGAAAGCAAAGGCATGCAGATACAAACAAGGAATGGAAAACGGAATAGATTGATATATTTATACTACTGAGTGATGCCTGTTTGTTACAGCAAAACAGAGATTTTGTAATTAATACTATATCTGTTATGTACATTGAATAATTAATGCCGAAGTGGATAGCTTTAGAGTAAAATTATGACCAAAGCGTTCTGGTGTAACTGGAGGGTAACGAGCATCTCATAGAAATATAAGGATTGAATAGCTGGGAAAAGGTAAATGGAAGTAAAATGTCTAGTCAAAAGAGCAACAGAACAAGACACAAAGGTCTTTTAATTTTAGTTGCAAGTTCCAACGAAAGCAATCAAGTACTGGCAGCATAGTTCCCCTAGGGAAATAAAGTACTAAATAAAATAAAGCTCACAAGAAGGGGGTAAAGCATAGGTAGCATGGTTTCTCAAGCAGAATAATATGATGAACAAAAATTGATTGATAGCAACATACAATATTGCTTGGTATTTGGGGTTTTTTACACAAAAAGAAAATGACAGCAGTTTAAATGAGCTTCGCCTTCTTCTTGGAGCCTTTAGTGATAGCCTGGGAAGTGTTATTGCTTCCATCAGCTAAGACATCAAATTTTTCAGTTAGACGATTTCTAGCCTTCGAAGCTGCCTTGGTTTCTTTAACAGGTGCAGTAACTGTAGCAAAATGAATTTTTTTAATAAAGGCAAAATTGTAATAGCTGTTTATATAGGCTATATCTAACAATCATAGATAAGTATCTATTCAATTGTCTGGTAGAGGCAGAAGAACAAAGGAGTTTTTGAACTGATGTTTATGAGCTATAATTTTTTGGATTGGGAAGGAAATAAAGCCTATGTTAACAAAAAAGGTGATGTATAAGGTAACGTTTCAACTCCTGATACCTGAAGTAATGGTGTCAGCAGTGTCAGGCTATAGCTCAATTAACAAAGTAGCATTTTTGGATTCAGCATTTTTGGATTCAGTTGGCGATTGAATAGGATCAGCATTGAGAACTTCAGAAAAGTAGATAATTGTATAGCGTTGCTTTGCATCAGCCATATGAGTCTGCATCGGTTTTATATGTACCAGAAACCACTTTGACTCCAGCTCCTTATGGACAACCTCCAGAGGGAGTTCAATGTTCTATGGAAGGAAAACGTATAGGAGAAGAATAAGTAAACAGATAAGGATTATATGCAGAATGGAGACATCTGTTGCATTAAGTGTTAAATGGAAATAATAATAATGTGGCAGTCACTATTTGAAAGGACAACATGCCTGCTTAAAATGGTCCATTATTTCAAAAGCAGTGAAGGTTAGCAGCTTTTCGGCTTGTTCTCCAAAGACAGAAACTGTGATCGTACCAGAATCATCACATAAATCCATATCAAAGCGACACCTATAGATGTATGTAAATTTCAGGGAGGCATGTCTATTAAAGAAGAGTTAAATAATGGACTAGCATAACTGATACGTTAATGACTTTCAAAGTAACTACCTAGGCTGAGCATGATGCTTTTCTTTGCATGTGTTGCACACAAAAATAACTCCATTTGCAGCAGCAGTGCCCCGACAGCATTTTTTACAGCTCATATACCAGTATTTCTGGAATATGTGCTGAAAAGAGAACCTTGCTTTAACCCATACATTCTAAAAACACAGCAATGAAAGGCACAGCGTTAACCCATATATTAATATGCAAATCGATAGTTAAATAACAGAATAGGCGAAAAAGCATGGAACCTTTTGTGATGGCCTGACATTTGAAATTAAAGTCATTTTCTGATCTGATTTCACAGATATGTCAGGGTTATACTTAATATAGGTTTTTTGATCAACGATTGCTGCAAGTAGCTTGGTATTTCTCATCGCCCTGTGATAGAGGAAATGGAAAAAAGTAATGGAAGGAAGTGATCATAGATGATTGATTGCTTATGTGATATAAATAATGAATCAGTACCAGTTCTTTAATTCTCTTGCTTGTTGCACAGGAGGGTCAACGAGGATCGCAGAATCAAACCACGTTGACAGTGTAACTCCTATAGGATTAAGAATGAATAAATTTTGTATGCAAATGGAAATTAAAATAAAGATGTATAGAGGTAAAATTACAGTTATAGTTGCTAACTTTCAATCTGCGACATATGATGACAGGGTAGTTGTGTAATTCAGCTATTATTTGTTGTCCTTCATTCCTGATGAAATCATCCCACATCGAAAGTATGACAGCTTGTGATCTAACAAGACGACAATAAGCAGTTGTCAAGACATACAAAGGATATACAGAAAATGAGGAGAGAACTAAGTAAGAGTTTGAAGAGCAGCAGAAAGAAACGTTATTGTTCATTGACAAGGACGAATTTTTGGACAACAGATTCTTTGAAATCTTTATTAATGATTCTTGTGTCTTGTGCCTCAATAACTATTCCAAGGACATCTGGCAAAGTGAAATGATCTTGTAAAAGCTTTTCTGAGTTGAAATTCATGATATATGTGTAACACACAACATACAAACCGACAGATTTATCCCTATGATCCATGAACTGTGCCAAGTCTGTGAATTGAGTGCAGTTAAATTTCACAGGCATCATATCTTCGACATCAGGATCCTGTTCAATAACGATTTTACTTTTGATGATCCATTGTACTTTCAGTTCAGCCGTCTGATATTTTGGGTGGATTGGTTTAACCAGAGCATTCGAAATTCTGTACTTTTTGTAGACCTGCAAGAGTGGTCCGACCCTAGGAATATCACGGTTGAAAATAATGCCTTCAACCTTTGATCCCTATTTCATAAGAGAAAATGTTTCGGAATAAATCAGTTGTGAATATGAACGTAATATAAACAGAAAGATTGAATGCAGCGGTTGTATTTATCTACCTCTACATGAACAAAAAATAAAGAAAGATTAAATGCAGAGGCTGTACTTGTTTACCTGTTCATCAACAAAAATAAACTTTTGTTTCTTTGTCGGTGTCGACAGTGATTGGGTAACCTGTTGTTTTTCTTGAACAATAACTTTGCATGACCACTCTTGCATATCAGGTATAATTTCTTTTATGGCTAAGAACTTGTCCATGCTACATGGGAAAACATCAAGGAAAAATCTATCAAATGTTAGTATAAATTAAGAATGGTATTGCAGGCATCATAACAATAGAATAATAATTATGGCTAACAAACCTTAAATGGAAATAACTCTAACATGTAGAAATATCATGCAGTGAGGTGAAGTATTTCTTCAAAGACAACATTTCTAGTCTTGCAATCAGTTTTTATGCCATCAAAAGTTCCAGGCAGGATAAGGATTTTGACTGCTGCAGAAGTTTTAACTCTAGATAAAGCAACATATAGTTGCCCGTGAGAAAAAACTGGCTCACGGAGGTAGATTCCAACATAATCTAGTGTTTGGCCTTGGGATTTGTTTATTGTCAAGGCAAAACAGACACGAACAGGAAATTGTGTCCTTATAAACGGCAGGCCATTCTTGTCATTATCAGATACTTGCATAGGAATTTTAGGGAAAAAGATTCTTTTCCCTTGATGTTGGCCAAAAGCTATCTCTGCACAGATAGTATTCTGTCTTAGCTCTCTGCAAATGAGTCGTGTACCATTGCATAATCCTTCAGTAGGGTTGAGGTTTCTCATAAGCATGATTGGACAATTTTCTTTGAGCACCAGTTTGTGAGGAGGAAGGCCTTTTGGATTTTGAGAATTCAAGAAATCTTCATAGTCTCCTTGATGGCGTGGATCAACAGTTCTATCAGAACTGACATACACATGAAGATTCCCAGGAAATCTTCTGATTAGCATGTCATTTATTTCATCAACTGAGGTATTTTTTGGAGCAAGGACACATCTATTGATCATACTATAAGGATCTTTTAAATAGGCTGTTAAATCTGGAAAAACAAATTCCAGCAACCTGTTCGTAACAAATCTAAGTGAGAATATATAAATGTTGAAGTCCAGAAGAAATGCTTGATAAAAGTAGCATTCAAAAGGGCAAATTCTTTAACCTGTTCAAAGATTTCTCTTTGTCAGTATAAGGAATGACCATCTCAGAAGATAAGGTTATTTCGCCATCTATGTCAACAGGCTCTCTTCCTTCTCCTATTCTTAATAAGAATTCTGAGAACGCTGGATCTAAGATGGCTCGCATATTCTGTGTCAAATGCAGCTTCTGGAGCTTAAGCCACAAAGGAGAGTTAGGAAGACTGGATTCGATAAGAGTCTGTTTTGTTGCCTGTTTGATAACCGGCAAAGTTTGACGGAAGTCACCACCGAAAACAACTACTTTTCCTCCAAATGGAAGGTCACAGTCCATTATATCCCTAAGTAAACCATCAAAGGCTTCAACAATTTCTCGTTTTGCCATTGAAGCCTCGTCCCACAAGATTAACCTTGATTGAAAAAGCAATCTTGCAACACTGCCCTGTTTACTAATCTGGCAGGTTTTATTTCTAAAAAAATCTAGTGGCATCTTGAATCTAGAGTGAGCTGTTCTTCCTCCTGGAAGAATAGACGCTGCGACACCCGACGTTGCAACTGCAATAGCAATGTGGCCTTGGGATCTCAAAGTAGCTAGAAGGGACCGATATAAGAAAGTCTTACCAGTTCCCCCAGGGCCATCAACAAAAAAATTCTGGCCAATGGGAGAGAAAACTGATTGCAGAATTAAATCATAGGCGTGCCGTTGTTCAATATTTAACCTCGAAGACATTATTAGATCCTCTGCTAGAACTTCAATATTTCTCTCACATTCAATCTCCTTTGTTAGCTTATCATAGTGAACAGCTGGTGGAATGTCTGTAGTTAGATGGTAGTCAGGAAAACTCTTACCCATTTGTTCGACCATTTTTTTAATTTCCTGCAGGGCCTTATTTCTAATTTCTTCAGCCGTATAAAAACAGAGGTGGTGAGATCGGTGGTAATCTACAGAGAGTTCTAGCTGAAATTTGTTCCAAAGAAATCGAGGATCTGTCGGAGAACAATGAACAAGAATAGTAGCAAATAAGAGTCTCAAAGAGGATGGCATTTGAAAAAGAGCTGCTTCTTCAAGAGTCTCTTGTAGATATGTATCGGACTGTAAAAGCCCAAGGGCCAAAGCAGCATCTCTAAAGCAATCCATTTTTTGGCCACTAATAGTTAAGAGGTCATCAAATGACGTAGGTGCTCGAACATGAGTAAGCAGTAGTCTAAGGTAGTATCTCTCACCTTCATGAGGGCTGATTGCCACTAGCCTTCCAATGGCTTTCTTACGCTTTCTCTCAGTCCAAGCTTTATATTTAAAAGACCAAACAAAATGCTCTGGAAATTCTCTATAAAAGCACTTCAAGGTTTCAGCCCTTTCATTTGTTTTGTTCATTTTGAAGAACTCGATCAACATGGTTTTTGAGAAGTCAATTTTCCTCATCAGCGGCAAAAGGTCCGAGTTTTTGTTGAAAGTGATGAGCTGCTGGCCAGGTAGATGAACCTGTAGAGTATAGACAGCTGGAGTCATCTCGTTTAGCCTAAATTCAAAGATGCGCCAAAAAGCCTCGGGGGGCGAAATCCATCTTCCCTGCTGGAATTCTCTAATCTCATCGACATTGGCACGGGAATCGTCAGATATAATTTTGAAGCTGATAAGATCGTGTCCTTTGAAGATGTACTTGAACAAATACTTAACCAGCTTCAAAGTGGAACAGATTTCCACATTCATGTGGCAATCAAACAAGGCTAAAAGATATGGGTTATAAGGAATGATCCATCTATTGTCAAGCTCAAACCTGCGAACAGTTATTTTACTGCCATCGTTCCGCCGCCTATAGTATGGATAGCTGTCTTCGGCATGAGTTGTATGTTCACAGAAGTTTTTTGGATAATGATTTTTACAGCTACCATCTTTCATACAAGGGCTATTCTTACCCATGTGTCCGTAAGGTCCATGAACCATGTGCTTAAGAACAAGAGAATACAAATGAGGGAACTGCTTAGGATCAGAAGCTCAGCAGAAACTATTCTATCGTATGACTCAGGATTAAGCAATTTAAATTGTGGCTTCAAGATTAATAATAAGTGAGCATGAGGAAAGCCCCGTTTTTGGAATTCAATAACATAAACGCATGCAGCGACTTCTCCAAAAATTTTCTTGTCTAAAAGTTCAGCCTTAAGCATTTCAAATTTTGCTCTAAACACTCTAGACAAAAGATCTGGCCTATCCTGAGGTTTTTCTTTAAATTGCAGATTATCTTGAATCTCTTTCCACATTGGATTACATGTCATGGTCAGGAAAATATCCGGCTTTCCATATTTTTGTACCAATGCCATTGCATCAAGATATCGTCGCCTCATATCTCTTGGGCCACCGATAAAAGAAGCTGGTAATATCACTTTTCGCCCAACTTTTAAGCCTTCGGTCTGACCAATAGAAACACTATCTAGCACTTCTTGGAGGATTTCTGTCCGAATATCATTTTACCTCTTGCGCTAAAAATCCAGGTGTGATGTTTCAATTTTGACATAGGAATCAACTGAAAATTGCTGCAGCAATCTAAGAGTATGCAATAGCATGGATTCGTCATTCTTCCTGATCTGGAACCTATAGTAGTAATACTCTCTAGCCGATACAGTATGCTCATCCTTCTTTCCATGATCAGCAGCTATAGGAAATGAAAAAATCTACACGTAAATAGAAGTTTATTTCGTAACCGGTAAGCTGAAAAACTATAAAACGTAGGACATGTACTTGCCTCTTTTTTCTAAATCCATAAGTTCAGATGGTTCATGCACAGAAGAGGGATCAATGATATCCTCTTCATCAAAGGAATGATCAGTTCATTTTCTTTTATAAGCTCGTTTAATTCCATGGTGCCATCCAGATTCACCACGCGGAAATAAGAGAGGATACTGTAAAGGATCATAACAAGCATAATAATGCTGGACCTTGTGAGCAGTATTTGACCGGCTATATACAAGAATATGCGGTTGCCTATCGACTGATTCATCATCATTTTCAGTCCATATAGCAGCAACTTGAGAAGCAGAAGAAAGATTATAAATGCGCTGGTCAAGGCCAGGAAAGCAGTTAAGGACAACATTATGCTTTTCAAGATCTGGGACATCACTTATGTCCTTAAAGAATCTAGCATAAGGATTATTAGAAAGTATGTCCATCAAAAGCTTCAAAGTGCTCTCGAGAAGCTTGTCAGAAGCAGCAACTCGCCTGATTAAGTCTTCATCGGTATCAAAAAAGTAGAGGTGGATTCCACAGGGTCTATCATCAGGCTGCGATAAACTATTCAAAAAATGATAAACCTGCCCCTGGACACGAAAGGTATATACTCCCCTTGTATTCCTTGTCAATTCTGGATCATACTTTGCAGCAAATGAAGTGAAAGACACATTATTGTTATAGGTGCGAGATAATTTCCTAAAATGCTCACATTCTTCATCATCTCCTATGAATAGACGCTTTAGAGCATAAGGCATTGGAGGAGCAACAATAGAAATTTCTCCTTGGGAGCAGCAAAACCTCGGGGGTTCCAAATAGAATCTTTTAGCTCCATAATACTGACAATCAAGAGCATCAGGGAGCAACAAAGATTCTTTAGCAATTTCATCAATCCTAGATTTTTTTGAGCGACGACGTTCAGTAAGTGTCCCTGCAGTTTAAGCTATATAATGGGAATGATGTTCGCAAGGAAATCTGAAAGAAGCACAGAATGAAGGGAATACGAGAGGCAAAGGTTACAAATATGACAAACAAAGAAAGGGCAACCTGATTGCCTCCTTGTTGTCAATATAACGTTTGAAAGATTCGTTGTAGCAGCTGTAACACCAACATGAGAACGAGATGATTTGCTGGTAGCATTCGTGTTGCCTGGCAAACCATTGTAATTTTTTTTAGAAGGAACAACTGTTTGTTCTTAAAGAAATAGGGCATCTATAAGTGCAGGAGCGCAAATTCTAATAAGCCGGGCATAACGCAAAGTATTGCCTTGGAAGAGAGATATTGTTTTTTTTTTGTAAAAGGTACAGGTTGAAAACGAAAGGGAAGAAAAAGGATCAGCAAAATGAACGAGTAATACCTGTAGGCTGAGTAGAGCAAAAAGACCGAGGACTGAATGAAATAGAAGAAGACGGAAACTGCTCAATTAAGTGGCTTGAGCATGAAGTACTGGAAGAGCCAAGGGACTTAAGATTTGACCCATGCATAGGGTCATGAGGTAAACAATGGGATCCCAGAAGATCAGTTTTTTTCTTTTTGTCAAAACAATTTCGTGGGGGACGTTTTCTACGCGGAACTCTGCCACTGCATGAAGCTGAAGCGAGACAGAGATATAGATGGTGTTATGCATATAGAAATAGCAGACAGAAGATGGCAATAGTGGAAGTGAAGAAGAAACACAAGGGAAACTATTTCTAAGTGCTGCAATACCTGTACACTGGCCGGTACTTTTAGATGGGAGATTTAATGCAGTAGAAGGAGGAACACAGTTTCTGGAGAAGTGATTTGAAGGAGCTGCATCGAGGGGGCTTAGAATTTCAATCATTAAGTTGTTAACAGATGTGGAGGTATTATGTGCATTTTTACTCAGAGCATCAGAAGTTTGCTGTTCCTGGCTTGAGGCTATAACAATGTTATGTGGAGGATGATCCAATGCTTTAGATAAGGCATTCTCATGAATGAGAGGAGAAGGTTGAATAGTAGCTGAAAGATGAAGGGAGGGAGAGTCCTGCTCTTTCTGTTTTGGAGAACTACTTTGTGGGTCAGCTTGCCGACAGTGAACTGTACGATTCAGGAGACGGGCTGCAAAGTGTACAAATAGATGGGCTAGTTTGCATCAGAGGAGCACACAGAAAATGAAGGCAGGCAAAGATGCAGACATGGGGAGAACAATGAAATAACTATAAATGGCTTTGGGGCAGACAACTAAAATAGTGCCATGGTATATATACCTTCAGAATCCAAACTATATTGCACTAAATGTAGGACAACAGGAGAGGAACAAGCTCCACTAGATAGACAGAGCGAGGCAGGCATAGCGGCAGACATATAGTTCAACGATTCTTGAAGCGCAACAGAACGACTATCGACAACCTGACCATGACAACCTGGTAACGAGTCGTTACGAGTAGGAGCTGAATTAGAGAAACAAACACCAGTTTCAACATGCCCGAATGGCACCGTACGAAGGTAAGAGCGCGATGATTTATCCTTTTTCTTAAGAAGCCTGGCCTCACGCCTCCGGCGTGAAAGTGCAGCCTTGGCAATGGGTGACATTTCTGCATAACGCTTCCAGCGCATAGCATTTTTATCCATCTCAAAAAAAAAACTAAGGAGTAACAATTCAGATATGATGCCCTTGTAAGAACTCACAATAAGTGGTGAAGATTTGGACTGTACAATATCACTTATTGTTTAGTGGTGAAGCTGGTTGCATGCATGATGTTGGTTTATTTTCTCAGTGCTCTGCCTGTTGGATTTGAATTAGCAAATCTAGGCTTTGGATTTGTAAGTTATAAGAATGCTTAAATAGCTTTAATAGTTCTATTCTGTTCAGAAAGCATTGGAAGTGTAAGTATTAAGAGCAACTCTAGCCTCACGCGATTGGTGCATGCATGACTAATCAGTAGTTCAATTTTCCTCAATGTGCAAATGGCCTTTTAAATTAGCTGTGGCATGTAAACTCAGAAGTTAGATTTCAGTGTATAGCGCAAGTAAAGGGTATGTTCAGAGTATTACGTGACTGTTTTTTACTTTTCTTGGCATGTAAAGGGTGTTTGATTAAGGCTAAGAATGCAGCATGCGCTTTCCTAGTGACAATGCTTAAAAAAGAATTTTGAGAGTAATAGTCAGGTTGGCTTCTGTTTGCCTATGCTTTGATTTGTCTGTGCATTGTTTATTCAATTTGGGATTCCATAGGCTGTAGAAATCTGTCGAGCGATAGCCACAGAAGCTGCTTCTTTTGCATGGCAGAATTTGTACTGCTCTGTCATTGTAGCCGTCTTTTTCCCTATGGTCTAAAAGGGTTTTTTTTTAATTTTTGAGGAAGCAGATACAACTTGAATTAATTCGATGAACGAAGCAAAAAGATGCGAAGAAGTCATGCATGTTGGAGAAAATACATGAAGTGCGGAATGACCAGGAAAGAGGGAAAAAACAGCGATGAACTAATGCAGGCACAAGGAATGAAGAGGAAAACAAAACCACAAAACAAGCATCTGACCTGCAAGGAAATTCCTGGCATAAGGCATAGCACAAGGTCAGGTCCACAGCAGGCTCCCCAGCAGGCCGAAAATGGCAGCAAAAATCCGAAAACACGGACATCAAATAAAGCTGCAAAAGATGGGAAAAATGACAACAACAGAAAGGTGAGATATTGGAGAGAGCAAAATAGAAAGGCGGGAATTATTTTTTTTAAAAACAATGACCTTACCAGGAAACCAAAGGCATATGTACACCAGCATTTATTAGCAGGGAAAAGGGGAAAAAACAACAAAGTCAGTGATTAAAATAGCTAATGCTGCCACAACTCATAAACAGGAATAGCAAAAAAACATATAAATCGATAAGCAAAAAACTGACCCAGACAATTATCGCAAGACTGCCGAACAGAAACGAAGGATTCAAAAGAACAGAGGAAGGAGCAAAGGGAAAAAATGAGCAAACCAACCTTATAGCTGATGATGAAATGAAACAACAGAACGAGAGAGGGAAAATGGTGACCGAATGCGGAAGCCAACCACTAAGCATGATAGCAGCTGCAGAACGCAGGACCGACGGTATAGACGGTAGCGTACGGAAGGAGGACGTTGGTAACCAGTAGAGGCAAAGAACAGAGGCCTGTTTTAAAAAGTGCACAGTGACTAAGCACTATTTTGACATCTATAACCCAATTACAACTAAACTAAGGCAACTCACAAAAAGACAATGTAAATAAACATCTAAAACAAGGGTAAATAGGTAACTCAATGAGCAGTCACATTGACCAAATACACACTCTAATCTCACCAAAAACTTGACATTAGGTAAAATTGAAAGGACAGTAGCATTATTATCAGCACCTTAGGTTGAAAAACTATTATAATTATGACCACTATGACCCATTTCTTGTGTTCCATACAAGCAGGTTATCCTTTTTTCGGTTCCATGCAAGCAGTCAAAACACAACCCGCCAAAACACACCCAATCTTTTTAGTCAAAACACAACCAACATCACAAAGCAGGCATCCACCACGTGGAGGAGGAGGACTACAACTTTTTCACCAACCACAAAGCGACACATCAGCTAAGAACACACGGCTTGGCAACTTTCCTAAGCACTTAGTCTACCTTAGGTTGATAAGTT